TGAAAGCCGGTATCTATACTGTTTGTGTGTTTCATTTCAGTGAGTAAAATAATAATTTGATCCCCAAGCAAAACATGACTTAGTACTTGGTGGAGAAATTGTTGTTGACAAGCACAGAGGTAAGATGTTTCTTTGTAGCTGGTCACCAGGTTTGTGCACATCTCAGGAGGGATTTTGATGCACTCTTCTTTACAGATCGAATAATTCTTTTCCACACTGTATCACTCACTCCAAATCTGTGCAGGGTTCGTGCTAGGGACTAGTGTAACATCATATTAGATGACTCTACAAGAAAAAAAATTGAAACTATATCTCTATATATGCTGATGGTACAATGACCCCCAGACACAGTGGCCTAAAACTTAAGCAAAATAAAATAAAATAAAAAGGTAGGCACAGTGGGTACAGGTATACAAATGCAGGCTGGGAGCCTATTAATCCTGCAGTCACCGACCATTTCTTAAATGTAATAAATAGTTGTATTCTACCCTCAGGTTTGTCAGGCACAGAGGTACAGAGCACACTCTTGGTAGTGACTGCAAGCAAGACACACAGATGGAGTGTACTGCATGGTAGTAACTTAGCATTCATGCTATTTGCAGACATTAAACTTGGAGAGAAGAGAATCTGATTGCTGTTGCCTCTAAGTTAACATTAACACCCACTTTGCCATGAAGGGGAGGTGGGGCCTTGTGTAGCGCCTCTCAGATTATGCAACTTGCATAGTGAGTATATAGGGCCGTCCACCTCTGGTAATACTTCCCACAGGCTGGATCTTTGGTTGTCCAGGAGTGGTGGTCTAATACTCCAGGACTGCACATGACGGTCCTGGTACCCCAGGATGACACTTTGTGGTTCTGGTGGTTCAGTGGGTGTGTCAAAAGGCTTTTGAAATAGACAAAACCTTTAGAACACGTAAAGACAGAAACCTTTTGGAGAACAGTTTGAAACGATTTCTGAATAGATGGTACACCTGTCAAAAAGGTTTGTTTTCAATGGAAACTTTTTGTACATTTAATAAACCAGTTCCCGACTGTCAGAAATGCTGCAGAATGGCAGGCAGTTGTACTAATACTGAATTCCCTGAACTAAGAAATACAGGACTTTCCTGTGTTTGAGGATGTGAAAGCGGGCATCCTTCAGATTTATGGCTGTCAAACAGTTGCCCTAGTGAACGCACTCCATGAACTGGTTTACTGTCAGCATGTGTAACAGTCTCTCCAGTATCAACTTGTTGACAAAGGACATGTCGAGGATGAGCCTTATATTGAAACTGTGCCTGTGTTCCAAAAATGTTTTGCTCCACTGGAAGATAAATCATGTCTTTGGTGCACTGGAAATCATTTGACATTATCTGGATCTGTTGCTCTTATTCTAAATGATGCACTATGAGTATAAAGCTGATATAATATATGTTTTTAACAGCCAATTTCTATACATGTACAGCCTAATATCATGGAGTAGGGCACAGAAAAATATGTGAGGTCACAGATCCCAGTAAAACAGGTCAAACAACAATCATGGATTCAGGCCTCTAGAGTTTGATCAAGTTGTTTACATGTTATTCACTCTTGCAGGACAGTTTAATGAGATCCATGGAGGTTGAAGCAGTCTGATAAAAACATTCCACAGGCTCAGACAGTTCTCTTTCTGTGTTTTGGAGATGAGCAAACATTAAGTGCATTTCAAGGCCAGGTGACTGTAAATAAGTAAGAGAACCCAAATACAGGAGAAATGTTCTTGCAGTCAAGGTGAAACCCCTGTTCTCAGTTTTGTTCACATATTGCTGTTATTTAATCTACGTGTCTTAATAATCAGTCATATTGTACTTTCTTAATGGATGAAGAATTAAATGTAACATATTTAATTCTTGACGGATATGTGGAAGTTCACAAATACAGGTATCTTTATTTTATGGTTGTTTTTACTGTATATATTCTAATAATCTGCAGTAATTCTACTATTGTGTACCTGATCTGGAACCACCAAGACCTTCATGAGCCTATGTACATTTTCATTGCAGCCTTGTTACTGAACTCTGTTCTTTTCAGCACTAATATCTACCCAAAGTTGTTAGTTGACTTTTTATCTGGAAAACAGATCATTTCTTATCAAGCCTGTCTGGTTCAATACTTTATGTTTTATGCTTTAGGTGGTTCAGAGTTCTTACTGTTGGCAGCCATGGCCTATGACAGATATGTGTCTATATGTAAACCTCTGCAATATCCAACTATCATGACAAAAAAAGCTATCATTATGTTACTGGCTTTATCTTGGCTTGCACCTGCATTTCAGGTTATGGGAGGAGTACTAATGAGGACTAATCAAAAACTCTGTAGCTTTACTTTGAAAGTCATTTTTTGCAATAACTCAATTTACAAACTTCAGTGTGTGCCTTCAACAGCAATAACTATATACGGTGTGTTCATTTTGCTAAATGTTGCATATTTTCCTTTGCTCTTTATACTTTCTACATATGCAAAAATATACATTATAGCCTGTCGAACTTGCAAAGAAGTCAGAAAAAAAGCTATAGAGACTTGTTTACCTCATCTGCTGGTTTTAATCAACTTTTCATTGCTCTGCACATATGACATTATTGTAGTTCGACTTGAATCTAGTATTCCCAAAACTGCCCATTTAATAATGACTTTACAGTTAATCTTGTACCATCCTCTCTTTAATCCAGTCATTTATGGATTAAAAATGAAAGAAATTTATAAACACCTCAAGCAAATGTTGCATCTAGAGAAAATGAACTAATGTTGGAACTGACAAGTAATTGTAGTGGTTAGCAATAAACAAGGGTCCAGAGATAATATAGAACAGTATGTAGTTCATAGTTAGATATTATTTGTGTTAATTGTGTAAGGATGTAAGGCTGAGCTCAGTATGTACGGAAGCTTGATCTGTCTCTGGCGCAGGCAAGAATATCTTGGGCTGTGTCCCT